CAAAACTGGACACAGTACTCCAGATGTGGCCTCACCAGTGCTAAAGAGAGGGGAAGGATCACTTCCCTTGATCTACTGGCAATGCTCCTACTAATGCAGCCCAGTATGCTGTTAACCATGTTCACAACAAGGGCAGCCTGCCAGTCCCCAGCTTGTGCTATCATGGAATTGTCCCGGCCTAAGTGTAGGACTTGGCACTTGTCCTTATTGAACGTCATGAGCTTTCTTTTGGTCCAATCCTCCAATTTGTCAAGGTATCTCTGAATCCTAGCCCTGCTTTCCAGTGTGTCTACTTATCCCCCCCAGCTTAACGTCATTTGCAAACTTAATGCTGAGGGTGTGCTCCATCCCATCTTCCATGTCATTGATGAAGATATTGATCTTGCCCTGTGTGGTCTATTGTTGTATTCTTTCCCCTAACTTTTCTCTGTATTTACCTTGGTTTCAGTCTCCTCTTTCAGATGGCTCTGTTGGGATGAGAGATGCCAGCATGGCCTCTCCCATTGAGCCACACTCCTGGAGCATTCAGGGTCCAAGGTGCTGTTTTTCCAGTAGAGGAAAAATGTCTCCCATATTGTGTCTTGGTTTCACTGATGCAGCCGGTTGATGTCTGAGGCCCTCTTCATAGAAGAGCTAGAATTCTAGGGATGGGAGTGAGCAGTGGGGGAGTTTGCTGGCTCACATGTCTTTTTATTTCTTCTGTCTTTCCGTACTATCATTTCTTCACAGAGCTCTGGACCCTCATGAAAAGACATAAGGAGTGGCAAGGTCCTGCCCTGTTTGCTTTCCAAGAGTACAAACTGGATTTCATTTTGGAGGTGCGACTCAGGGTTCAAAAATACGCTGACCGTGCCCAAGCTTTTAGCAGCAGTTTTGACAGTGGATCTGGCTGTGTGCAGGGTTCCCTGCACAGAAAAATTCCATCGGAGTGGAGTAGTAGTTTCTCAGCCCAGATGCTTCTTCATAGCCTGTCTTCTGGAGCTGCAGTTTTCATCTTGAACCAGACCTGCAGGTGACAGGCTTTCCCAACTCCTAGTCAGACTTAGTCTCTGTCTTCTGACTGTTGCCTGCCTATGCTCTGTCAATAATTTTCCTTGCTCTTGGCCCCTGCTCTGGTGCTTTAAGCCTTATTAGACCAGAGTAGATGAGACTGCTCTACCTAAAAGTGACACGACACCAAGAGGGTGCTTATTCCAGATGACATAGCTTTTAGTCAGTGACTTAATTGGAGAATTTTTGGAAAAAATAATGTTTCTCTGCACCCCCATAGAAAACCTCTACTTTTTTCCCATCCTAAAACTTTGTTCCTGTGACCTCTTTTTATCATGCACTCTGTTCAGTGTCTGCCCCCAAATAAAGATCCTCAAAGGAAAAGTAAGAACATTAAGCCTGGTAGAAAGTGGAGTGGAATCTTTTCTCTCTGCTTTGTCTTGCTATGCTCAGGAAAAAGAATATGTTCCTAATCCCAAAGGAAGATATTTTTTTCACTCTGGAAGGCTGAGTGCTGGAGTCTCTGACTTGGAAACAAAGGGGTGGGGTGCCGAATGAGAGCTCCCTGAAAAAAGGAACCCTGCAGAGCTGGCTGGCTATGTGTTAATGGGGTTAAGATCCATTAATGGTGTTATGTCTGTGTGGTGTGGCAGATGCATCTGGCAGCCTAGTACCATCTGCTTCTCTTGGGCGACTCAGGTGGGAATGGAGTCGCAGAACACCTGAGTGTCGCTGCGGGCTTCTGGCTTGCCTGCAGGGGAACAGTGGGCCACTTCTGAACTATTTTAGTTCAGCACAGCAGAGGAAAATTTGTTAATTTCCTACACGTGCTTCTTGCTGTTTCTGCTCCTGCTTTTGCAGACCCAAAGCCAATGCCTGTGCACACTTCTAAGGGTCACATTCTCTGAGACCAGACCCATGCTAAAAGTTTTGTTGGTACTGTAAAGTTGGCCAGGAATGTGAGTTTTTTGTCATGTTTGTGTGCTAACAAGAGCTCCAGGATAGTCCAGTGTGTGTATACCAGCAAAAGCACTTTTTTGCCAATGTAAGCTGTCTTTATCCTAGGACAGTGTGCCGCTCTATCTATCCTGACAGATCCTTCCTAATATATATATAGGGCTCAGGATTATTCTTTACATGTTTGGACTGGTTTGAGGGCTGCCAAGAGGATTGAATAGACTAGTGGTTACCAAACCATGAGACCATGGTAAGTTGGTTTGTGAATTGCACTAGTTTCCACATGCCTTTATAGCAGGGGTTCCCAACCTTTTTAGATTGCGGACTGGCAAACGGCGGACTAGAAGTGACCGCTGACTGGCAAACTGCAGTCCAGAAGTGACCAGTCACAGATAACTTAACAGAAAGATATACATGTCTGTGACCCCTGAAAGATGATATGCCATCCTTATCAGACCAGTATGCTGGTTATTTCTGGACTTCTGGTCTGGCAGCTAACCCTTCTGTGGACTGGTAGCCAACCCTTCCGGGACAGGGCCTGGGGGTTGGGAGCTTCTGCTTTGTAGTATTTCCAGTTTGAGGGTTCACAGTGATCTGTAGGAATCTTGCCATTAGTCTCCTATTGGCTCCCACATTTTGGGAACATTTGGATAGTGGTGGTAAGGCATTGGCACTTAGTAGCCTTTATGTGTAAACTATTAGGAGCTGCCTTCTTGCCATCAGTTCTACAGCCCAAACAGGCCCCTCAGAGGCGAATCCAAAAAAAGGTCAAAAGTCTTCCTAAGCCTAGAAACCTCTACATTAATGCCATGTAGAGGAGTGATATGGCTAATATCACATCTGACAACCTTTTGATTTCCTAGACTGAACCACCAGGTACCCATTTACAGCTGGGTTGCCTTGGGATCACCTTTCATGCACATCTGGAGAAGGGCTCACACTCAAGCCTTTAGAGCTGTAGCAAGGTACTGTACCTACTCTGCTGCATCCTTTTGAGTGGGGAGGGAGAGAATGCCTGTCTCCACATATGGTACAGTTATGTTAGAGTCAGATCCAGGTCCACAATTCATTATTAAGGAGCATCCACACACTTTCTGCAGGGAATTCGAAGCTGTAGAAAACCTAAGTTGGAAGAAGAGGCAGGGGGCATAAAGATACGTGTTGGAGAGTGGGTAGGAGGTGCAGGATCAGTGAAGGACTGAGCTGGGACTGGACTTTATCAGGATGAGTTGTACTGCAGGGTAACCTTGGTAAGGTCAGTTTTGTTCATGAGGGAAAGTAGAGAAAATCAGGTCTTCAACACCCTTTTCTTTATAGTGTTTTTACCATATGACAGATTACATGCCCTAACTACGCTGAGGTAAGAAAAATGAAAAACATACCTTTTTGCAAGTGAATATAAGGTGCAAGGTGCATTTATTCTCAGTGTTCCTGGGCTCTCTGCACATTGCTTCTCTTAAAATCATTGCTGAGCACTCACTCATGGTGAAAAGCAAGCAGGGAGGGGGAGGACCAGACCCAAATGAGTGCTCTGGAGGACACCCTGCTGCTTCCTAAATTGGTGTTAATGTGAACCATTTGGAAAGCATGTGAAAGCATATATGATATGGGTTTAATGTCATAAACTGTGGAACAATCACTGCTGTATTTCAGTGTTGTTACTGATTTTAAATGGTAAAACTTGATTAACTTACTTAAAGGGATACATCCCCAAAATTAGCCTTAACATGCACTTCTGAGGGAATATTTGGTATTTAGACTAGCTCATTTGCACACCGTTCTCAATAAGGCTGAGCTGCGAAGCTCAGGTTTTCACTTTCTATTCAATACAAACACTGGAACAGGTGCACATTTCAGTTAAAATATTTTAGGTGTTTGGGGTTTTTCCCAGGAAAAAATTTGTCTGAGCAGTGTGCATCCTTGATACGGCTTGGAAACTGCTATGGCTGGGCTGGGAGAAGGTAGAGGAATGCATGCAGCTTTTGTGAATTCAGCTACCATGTTCATCCTAAATGCTGGAGGATGGTCTTGGCAGGGTTTTAGGTGTGTCCCCTCTGGAGGGGTACAGGGGAGGGAAAGGACATGGAGCAGGCCTGCGCAGGAGGTACAGCCGACATCTGCACTTTGGAAATGAAAAAGTAGTGTTCTTTTTTTCTTCCCTCAGTCTCATTTATCCCCTTTTCATGATAAATGTGTGAAATGAGATGACCCTGGTGGTAAGCAGGTAGGGATATACCCACACTTCAAAAGGAATCTAATAGCATACTCACAGGCATCACATTAAGAGGCCTAACAATTCAAGCCCACACGTATTCAGTAAGAATCATCTTTTTTGTTCATATTTCTCCATTCAGCTATTTTAAAGTTGACTACTTTAAGCCAGTCAAGTTTCTTGACTTGGTTGGTTTGGGGGGGGGGGGGGGGGGGGGG